ATGTTAAATTCTGCTATTTGCAGCTTTGCACATGAAAAAATTGAGCATCAAATAAAAACATTGCTCCAGTAAAGTGGCAGAAGGTTTTTGTACAGAATGATGAATTATGTCCAATATTTAAAACTAATCTCTTTCATTACATTTGTCTCTCTTCACTTTGAAGCTCTTTTTTTTTTTCCTCCATGTTTCTGTCATTTTGGGGTAGAGAAAAAGACAGATACTATACTTGTGTCATTGAAAATTATTACATGATTCAGTAACACCATACATAAAGGAACAGTAAGTGACAGATGCATAGGAATTTCTGTGCCAGATCAGACTAATGGTGCACATAGTTCAGTACCTTTTCTCCTGGGATTAGACAGTTCTAGATGTCTGTGCATCTGGAACTGATGGGTTTGGTCCTCAGCATTTAGGAAACCTGCTGCCAGCTCTGTGACAGTCGCTCTGCGGTGTCTGTCATTCAAGGAAAACACAGAACAGGCTTTTCAACAGAAACAGGCATTTATTTCACATTGCTGCTGGTTCTGGGACATGATGAGCCTGATACACTCACTCTGCTCCTGACTGCTCCTGTGTACATGGAGCAGCAGCTCACCCACCTTACCTTCAGCTTTGTAAGGTTCTCAGGGGCATCACTTCTCACTTTAATTAGCTAGCAGGGCATGCCAAAAGCTCTGGGCATCTGACAGGCTTCTTTCTTTACTTCTGTGCCCTCTCTGTCATTCTTCACATCAGGCATTTTGAGTTTGCTGATATATCCCAACCTTTGTTGGGTAGGATAATGGGCCACAGCTGCCAGGCACACTGTTCTGCTGGAGCTTTGAAATATGTTTAGATTTTTAATTAAAGGAACTGTTAATACCTCCTGTTTTCAGAAAGATGTCTAACATGTAAAATCTGAAAAAAAATCAAATGAGACGTGGCAAAAATGCAGTTATGGCCTGTGGGACTCAGTGTCAGTTGCCTCCCTGTAGTTTTTCCACATAACAGATGACAAGCACTTTTTAGTGTTGTCAGCTCAGAGAAGAGATGACATTTTGTGAAGGCTGCCATTCTTTCATGCATAGTTTGAGGTAAAGAATGAGGTGTTTTGCAACATGTAGTTCCAATTCTGCCTTTAAATGTGTGCCAAACTGTGCTGTTGTCAATTCTGTAGAGAAAGTGAGCATGTGTAGGTGTGGGTGAGGGGGCAAATTTCATTTCAAGGGCTGGTCTCTGAGCAGTTCTCCAAGCTAAGCAATGTGAGCCTAATATTCTAATTCCAAGGGGACGCTTGACACTGCACGGTAAAATTGCTTATTAAATTACAATCAAGAAAAAAATCAGGAGATAGACACTGTTCAGCTGGCAGCATGGAGGGAAAAAAAAGGCTGAATTCTAATCATTCGAATAGCAGAGTTAGAGCTATTTCACTACGTGGAAATAAAATTAGGTTGTCACTGATACCATTATTAATGTATGAGAAGATGCAGAAAAACAATTTGGTTCCTAATACCCCTTCTGCCCCTCCTACCCACCCCCAAAAAGAGAGAGAATAAAATAAAAGCAAAATGGACTTGCATAAGGGCTTTCTAATATGGGCAGCTGTGACAGATTTCATTGCTGTAGTAGTACAGTGCAGATGATTTATAAATTACCTTAATTTGAAGGCGAGGCGTTGTGTAAACAGTATTGCATTTATTATTTTCCCAGTTAGATCAAAATGTAAAAAGGCATATCCAATATCAGTAACACTGTTTATTACTCTAATCAGAAACAGGAAATATATTTTCAGCTACTCTAAACCTTATGTGTTCTTTTATTATGCATGAGCAGCTATTACTGCTGTTCAGTCATATACATCTCTTAAGGTAGTCACATTGCAAGCTCTGCCTTTTGAATGGCTTTCCAACAAATAAAACAACCTTTTTGCATAAAAAGGTATTCTGCAAACATAATTAAGTACTGAAATCTACATTTTTATGAACATAACATCTTCATACACAAGATGAATCCATTGGAAAAATTTGAAAGGTTTTGCTTCACTTTGTCATTGGAGCCAGCACAAAAGAATTTTATTTTACATTACAACACTGAACACATCTTGTGCCCTTGAATGTGAACTGCCTTGAATTTGGTTAAGATTCTGTTCTCCAGCCTCATTTTCACACTCAATGAGCCACTACTGTTTCAACCCAAAAGGGATCAGTCAGTAAAGCTGCATCATGAAACTGGTTGTAGAGTCTGATCAGATTCTTTAAAACTCATTTATATTTAGCCAGTAGTCACAAAGCTAGCTTCAAATGCTGCTCAAGATATGCCTTCCCTTTTGAGTATAATTTCGGAATACAAAATCAGATTTATGAAAAGGGTACAGTTTAAAGACCGTTTTCCTCTTATGTTATTCATACTATGTTATAAACATTAAGAGCAAAATCTATAAATATCCAAATGACTCTTTTTTTCATTTACAGATTTGTATTTTCCCTACAACTAGGTATTTTATTATTAACATAAGAATTTTCATGAAAATTAAAAAAATAATGAATTATTAATAAAACTCTCCAGATTAGGAATCTGGCACATAGAAAATTTGTTGATTTATTAGTTTGTCTTGATAAACAAAGTCTTACAGTAACTTAACCACCTAAGCTGGTAGACATTTTTTTAACCTGTCATCCTCTGAGATCTGATAAGATCTGAGACAAGGAAAGAAAGTATGGAAATTTTTTCTTCTGCATCCTCCCTCAAATACTGGTGCTACAGTCCAGAAAGTGTCTTGAATGGGGATAAAGCAAAAGAGACCAAGGGGGATTGCTTGGTAAGACAAGGTTCAGATGGTGAACTCCTGTGTTGGAACAAGTGCTGCTGCTGAGGGAGGGTGTTTAGGATTGTCAGGGCAGTGTCTTTTGTGATGTGGATCACCATGATTTTTGTTTAACTCTTAAAAACTGCATGTATCCAGGTCCAAAGAAGGAGTTAAAATGCCTACCATGACCATGTGGCAGGCCAGGAAACTAATGTCCCCAAAAACCTGCAGAAGCCGGGAAACTAAGGATAGAATTATGTAAGTTAGAAATAAAGGACTAAACCCAAGCCAGGAAAAAGGATAAGGCCCATAACTTTATGTTATGAGGAGATCCTTTGAACTATACTCTGCAGTTAGACCCTAAAACTGGCTGTTTCTCAGAGGACACATCCTTTTGATTGGACATTCCAGTGTAAGGTGTACATTTGGGGCATTGAATAGCTAATTTTTCCACTCCCTCAGGAAGCCTGGACTTGCATATCCAACCAAAACACCACTGCAACAAGACCACGAGATCAAACATCAAGTGCTTTTACCCAATTTCTTTAGAAGATATAAGCATTTCCTGGGGAAGAAACAAGAAATTAGCCTCGTCTTTCCTTGAGGAATGTCTTATCACAGCTCTCCTTTGTCACCCCGTTTCTTCATGCTGGTACCCAAAAAGCATTTGTAATTGCTTCCCAAGTAGAACAGCTGCACCAGGAAGGGACAAAGAGCATCACACACAGCAGGGGGGGGCATAAAGCCTTTTGCACCTCTGACCTGCCAGAGGAGTGATCTGACCACTAGGTTAATGGATTAGGAAAAGGTGGGTAGTGGAGGTATTCGGGCAAAAAATATAGAATTACATTTACCTTCCTACTGCTAAAGTCAGTTTACCACAAGTGAAGAAGCAGAGGCTTTAAAAAAGCAGCTGCAAAATATGTAACATGGTACAAAGGACATCTTGGCTACTGTGATACAACATAAATGTTAACCACGCATTTTTTGTCAGCAACTGAGAGTCAAAGAGGAGTAGTTGGCTTAGTGACACATCACCACAGACACAGAGCTTGGCCTTTGAACAATTTATTGGTACAACAAACAGCTTCTCAGTCAGCCAGAGCGAGGCCTTAACAATTCAAGGACAATTTTTTATATATTCAAAGCAAATGAACAGAGATTTACATACTTGTTTTTAACTTTGGCTTCTCTTCAATTGCCAGACGGATGTTCTAGTTCGTTTCTTCTTTTGTTTCTGTCAGAAATACAATTATAACGCTGAGCAGAATCTGTTACTGCTTGTTGAAAGCAACTGCTGCCGAGTGAGCTCAGCTCTACTGATTGCCTCCTTCTACCATCTAGTGGCACTTTCAGCACACTGCTCTCACCCTCTACTTGTTTTAAAGAGTTCGATGAGAATGATATTAAACATATACTTTTGAAAAGGGCAACGTTTCTGGAGAGGAAATACCTTTCTCTGAAATGGGAATGTAGTTTTCATACATAAATTATTACAGGAGAATAGAAGAGATTCAATGGTCTAAAGAATTAATGTCAGAGAAAAGGTGATTGATTTCCAGATTGATCTGGGTTTTGTTTTTTTTTTTTTTTGAGGTAGCACTTGGATTTTTAGTTGAAAGCTGCAAAATGAAACCATTGAATATTCTAAAGAAATACCTATTAGAAACCCAGTTGGTTTGCTATTTAGCTGGATATTTAAAGGGCACAGCAAGAATTAGAAGACATTACCAAATGTAAAGCTAAATGGAAAGCCTATATTTTCCTTTCTGATTACATAATAGTATTAAGAGCTCTCAGTGTTCCATTTTGCAGCAGATGCTTCTGTTTCATATAAGGTAAAATTTTAAATGTCAATGAACTAGGAATTTCAGGCTTGGGATGTTTTCAATCAAAGAGTGAGTTCTGACTAATTATATGACTAAACACATGAATTATCTCAAATGCATTCTATTCTTTGAACTGAGGTTTGGTTTGTTTCACAAAATGCTGGTTTGGGTGAATTAGACTACAAATGAAACTAAATTTTTATCCGATTCTGAAAGAAGTTTATTTCTTCCTTTCCACTTGCAGCAAACTGACAAGGCAAATTGATAGAAGTCAAAATGTAGAATCTCAGCATCCAGGATACTATTTCTTTTTCTTTTCTTTTAAACATGTGCCATTCCCTATTCTGGTCATATTGACAAGCCTTCAACATGTTTTCCAGGGTGGAAAGATCCCCATAAGGTGGACTGCTCCTGAAGCCATAGCTTACCGCAAGTTCTCTTCGGCGAGCGACGCGTGGAGCTACGGGATTGTCATGTGGGAGGTGATGTCCTACGGTGAGAGACCGTACTGGGAGATGTCCAACCAGGATGTAAGTAATGCCCAGAATCAATCTGCAAGTTGTTGAGATGTTCCTTGAAAGTTTTGTCGCTCCCTGAGCTGCTTTGCCACCTCGTTCCCTTTCTGGGCTGGAATCTCAGCTTATTTAAGTCACCATCGTTCTGTCAGCTTCAAGGAGACAGTTCATTTATGCAGCCAGAAGACTTGGCCCTCTCTAACTAAAAGCTTGCCTAGCTTCCTACCATGGATTAAAGACAGATTACAAAGAGTCATAGCCAGCTTGCCGGGCTCTAATGCTGGTTATGTGTGGCTTTCCTCCAAATCCCTGGGAATCTGCATCAGACAGGCGGGTTGATGTAGTTCTCAGGTAAGCTGTAAATCAAAACTTATGGGAATACTGGAACTATTCTGATGATGATGGCCCATTATGACCAGTACAGTCTGACAGTATCCTTCAATGGGCATACACAGTTGAATTCTAAAAGAATTAAGCTGCCATGAGAAATGTATTTGCCAATTCTCCTTTCTAAGAATTCAGCACATTCTTTTCACCTTAAGTCTACATATAGGCTTAACCACAGTGCAGGACAACAGTCCTACTTCATATCTAAGTTATGTTTTCCTCTGACTTTTTTTTTCCAAAAGCGGTGGCCAAATAAGCCTTCACAATTAAAAATATATATATATTTATTTCTAGTAAAATGGAAGGTTTGTTCTAGAAAAAGAAGCATGAAATGGTGTGTGGGGGGGTTCTCTACCACAATTTAAATTTTCACAGGTTCTCTTTTGTGATGGATCCCCATGACAGCTCAAACTGGTATACTCAGTCTTCACACCAGCCATCAATCTCTATGTCAAAATGAGGAATATCAGCCAACTCACCTTAACCTCTCTTACATATATGCCTGGAATACCTCTGCATTGGTTCTGAAGAACTGACAAGACTTTTCCCAGATGGCTGTTTTTATAATTCTTGCTAAGTTATTCAGCTCTGCAAGTCTGGTTGCTTGTTAAGGCTGATCAGTCATTTGGGGATAAGGATCTGAGAGAGATTTTCATTTAAAAAAATAAAGTCAGAGTGTTTCAGGAACAAAAGAAAAGAAACCCAACCGAACCCATCCAAAACAGAAAAAAACTAGCAGCCATACAATAGCAGAGGGTGTTATTCCTGAGGTAATCTTCCATCAGAAACAAAGCTGAACACAGCCATGGCAATATCAGCCTCTTCATCATTAGTGTGCTGCTGCAAAACCTGATTACTCTGCATTGCATGGAGTGCACTTTGCATCAAAATGCACACGCAGCCTCAAACTTTTGCCTTCCCAAACTAAGAGATGCAATGTTTCACTGGGAGCCTTCTTTTAATGGAAGACTGAACAAAACAAGAAGCTGGGAAAAGGAATTAGCAAATCACACAATAGCTGAGGTTGAGGGGCCTTTTGAGATGGCCAAGTCCAGCCCCTCTGCTCAAACAGGGTCAGCTGAAGCAGTTTGCTCAGGGCCGTCTGTGACCAGATTTTGAGTATCTCCAGGGAAGAAGCCCATGAAACCAGACATATTTCTGAGCAAAGCTGGCCCTTCCATAGTGCCTGGCTTCTGTGCAATGCCAGTGCTTCCAAACTGCAAGGTCACCCCTCCCTAACTCTGCCAGTCTGTTTTTCCAGCCACAGGTGATGGGCAGCTGGGAGTGGCTGCAGCTTGAGGAGGAGGTAGGGAAGAAGATGCTTTGGTTTGAGTGGCCTGGTTTTGGTAGTGGGTTGGCTTCTCTGAGAAGCTGACAGAAGCATCCCCCATCTCCAGTGGAGTCAATGCCAGCTGGCTCCAAGGCAATCCACTGCTGGCCAAAGCTGAGCCCATCAGCAATGGTGGTAACACCCTGGGATAACATATTTAAGAAGGGGATAAAGAAAACTGTGTTACTGCAGCCAAAGAGAGGAGTGAGAATACAAGAGAGGAACAGCTCTGCAATCACCAAGGTCAGTGCAGAAAGAGGGTCTGGAGCAGAGATTCCCTTGCAGCCCATGATGGACACCATGTTGAGGGAACCTGTGGAGGCTCACCATGCAGCATAGATCCATCTGCAGCCTGTGCAGGACCCCATGCCAGACCAGGTGGATGCCCCAAGGAGGCTGTGACCTTGTAGGAAGCCCTCCCTTTGGAGAGATAAGCTCATGCTGGAACAATTTTGCTGTCAGGACCTGTGACCCCACGGGGGACCCAGACTGCAGCAGGGGAAGAGCATGAGGAGTCCTCCCTCTGTGGAGGGAAGAGTGGCAGAAACATGTGATGAACTGACAAAACCCCCATCTCCCTGTCCCCTAGTGCCGCTGGGGAGGAGGAGGCAGAGAAAATTGGGAGTATATTTAAATCAGGGAAGAAGGAAGTGGTAGGGAGACGATGTTTTGAAGACATGGTTTTATTTCTCCTTACCCTACTCTGATTTGATTGGCTACTACAAATTAAATCATTTTTTCCCCAAGTTAAGTCTGGTTTCCCCATGAAGGTGCTGCTGAGTGATCCCTCCCTGCCCTCATCTTGATCCACGAGGCTTTCGTTGTATTTTCTCTTCCTTGTCCAGCTGAGGAGGGCGAGGGACAAAGCTGCTTTGGTGGGCACCTGGCATCCAGCAGGGTCAACCCACTACAGGCATTGTGTCCTACTGATCTTGTGCTGTAAACAGGGAATTTCAGTCTCTATTCCAGTTGTGAGTGATTTAATCTGGTGTTGGATCAACTTTCAGGGAGAAACCCAACTGCCATCACCTCTTTTATTTCTTTGTAATGGTAATCCTTCTCCTCACACCAGGCCCATTCCCAGCACACCTCTTGGCTGTTACCACCAACTAGGAATGGGGGCAGAGGGAGACCTTCTGTCAAGTCTGTTCATCCCCACTATTCACCTACTGAGAAGAGGGTTAGAATGACTGGTAGGGCCCTCACATAAAGTCCAAGTCACCAGGGATGAGTAGTGCATAACACTGACCTTCATTCCAGCTGCCTCTCCCTTTCTTGGAAGCTGACTTCAGCCTGTCTTCTTCCCTTCTATCAAACCCTATGATGTATTCAAGGCCATGCCAGCAGTGAGAATTCATAAAGTAAACTCTCAATTTAGAATATATTAAATAATCAGCTACAGCGTGAAGATAGCAACATTTAATTACTCCTACATCCAAAATAGAAGTATCTGCTAAAACAGAATAATGCTGCAGGCCCTGTGGATGCAGCTCATGCTAATGATGCCGACTCCTGGGGGCTTTCCCTGCAGTTCAGCAATTCCCAGCACAAAGGACTCCTTTCCTCCAGAGCCCTACCCACAGGCTTTTCGTGCCGGAATGTTAACAGTGGGCACCTGTGACCCTCTACATACATTTAGTGACTTAAAGTGTCACTGGGAAATTTCAAGTTATTAGACATACTGTAAAGCTTATTTTGCTGGATACTGGGACATTTCTTTTAGCACAAAAAATTATCCTGAATTCACAGGAGCTTATTTTGCAGAAATAATAGGACTTTCAAAGGACAGTGATATTGTACAGATGGCAGGGAAAGTAACAGAGAGGGGCAAGCACTAAATGGATTCATAAAAGCACAGTATGCAAACAGCAGTCAGTCAGGTCTTGCATGAGTACAGTTCTGCTACCACAAAATGTCTGGTAACATTAACATTACAACACCTAGTGAGACTTGATCATAGTAAAATTCTTACTTAGATAGCAGTAAACTATTGATTGAATTGTATTGATTGAATTGGGTGGGTTTTGGTAAATTAACAAAAGTTTTCCAAGTATAAGCTCTGCAGAGCTGGGTCTGGTTTTCTGGGGGATTATTTTTCATGTTCCATCTTACAAATCGCTGACCCTTCAGTCACAGCAATAAAATCAGGGGAGCCACCCAGGCAGCACAGAGCTCAAGCTGATATGAGGAGTGTTAAACTGATACCTACCACCTAAATAAACCCAGTCTGATGCTCTGAGACTGCAGTTGCTCACAGGTGTCCACTGGGTCCGTGCCAGCCAGAGCGACTCCACACCCTTGCAAATCCAGTGTTCTCCATTTACATTCCTCAGCAAGGATGTGGAAGCCGAACTTAAGGAAACTGAGTTGGAAAATGCCGCTCATAAAATTTTTAGTACTTCACACGGTGCAATGCAGAGGCTTAAAAATGTTACTAAGCTTGAGAAATGTTCTCGTGTAAGTAAATAACCATTTTATTATTGTGGTAAGTCACTTCCGACCTGTGTTGGTGCTGATTAATGCACTTCTTAGATGTGTGGCAGGCACCAGAGGTGTCCATTAATTAGGGCTGCTGCACAGTCTGTCGTGTCTTATTGCTTAATTAATAAACATTACCCAAGATATTGGACTTTCCAATGAAACTAGTGTACTGATGAACAGATTGTGCTAAGAGCCTGGCTTGCTAATGCTCATGTGAGGGAAGGAAGATTTATATTCCATGCATTTGGTTTGTAGAACAGCTGTGAGTGAAGTCTCCTGGGACACCTGTTAGAGCCACTCTATAAATCAGTGCATGTTGCAGAGCCACAAGATTCAAAAAGAAAAGGAAAAAAAAAAGAATACTTAATGGATTGCAATTGGTATGCAAGAAAAGTACTGTAGCAAGAAGAATAAAACTCCTTACACTCCTGAAAGTTTCTTGTAATAGTAAAAAAAACACCTTATCCTAATATAATTCTTTCAACTTAGAGATATCAGAACACTTGGCAGGTGCCTGGGATTGGCTCTGTACCATGAGGCAGGAGCAGCTGCCTCTCCCTTCTGGTAGATTTTTCAGATGTCAGAGGACACAGGGACAATGTCCCTATGGATTCTCTTCTGTCTCAGTCTCATTAAAAAATCTGTCAGTTAACTTTTGAAAGCAAGACTCTATGTTACTGTTAATAATGAAACTATCAGGAAGATTACAGCTTTATTTTCAGGTGCCATTTTTGCCAATTTCTAATTATTTCAAAATTAAACATGCATAAATTTTATGTAGCAGTCCATAAAATATTGTTCAAACTATTTTGGTTTTATATTGTATTTTTATATTGTTCAGACAATCATAATTAACATTAAATATTAACTCTGTGGTCAAGCTTTACAACAATGTCTAACATCAAAAAAAATGATAAGAGGTATTGAACAGGCTCCAGTGTTTAATATCATCTGTATACAAAAATATTAAAAAAATGGTCCCCTTCATAGAAACAAAAGCCTAAGCATGAAAAAGCATGGAAATAATTAGCTACGTTAACCATAAAAAATATTCCCTTTCCATTTGATACCCATCAAGTGTTTGCCACAAAACCAGAACCAGAGAGCAGTGATCAGCCTTTTTGTTGTCAGAAACCAAGCTCACGTTCCTGTTCTTCCATGTTGAAACAGGTGGGGCACTGATTTGCCATTTTGGAAAGGGTCACACCCATTGCTAAAGCTGCTGCTGTGTCCTCCTTGTAGATGCAGTTGTTTAGACCATCTCATGATTAATGTGGTGTTTCATCAATTTTAAATAGGCAAGGAAAAACTCATTTCAAATGAGTGAACATGTATTATCTTTAGATTTATATAATATATAATGTTATATTACTGAGAAAAATTTAGTATTTCTTCCCTTTCAGGTATCTAATTCTTCTGTTCGGAAAGATAGGTGCAGAGCAGGAGCTAAAAAAATATATAAAAACACAAATAAGGAACTAAAAAAAATCTTCCTTTGAGACTTGATTCCCATTGCAGTACTATACAGTTATCACATCTTTACTCTGGCTTCTTAGACTCTAAAAATAATACTTGCCTCACAAGAGATACTAATGAGGCAATATTTGCAGTTTATTTTTTAAATGTGCTGCTATCAATGAGAAATTATAATTATCCCAGAACCAGCTGGTATTTCTCTTCATACTGAAATGTTCCTTTAGAACAAGAGAGGAAACAAAATGCACTGTAACTTCATTTTCAAAGATATGTTATAATAGAGTGTGTCAGAGAAAATATGCCTGGAAAATTATAGTTGGGTTTGGGTTTTTCCTGAATAAATTATTTCAGAAAAAAAACTCATCAGCCCTCTATTGTTGTTTCCAGTAAATGCAATATGTCTCATGAAAGTAGAGCAGGTTTCCTGTTGCCTTAAAAACAACATACATTTCATAAATTCATCATTTGCAACAGGTACAGTTAAATGTAAAGGTTATGATATCTGCATTTCTGGGCTGCTAAAGATTACCTCTTTAGTGAGTGTCAACTCGGCTGTATCCCTCACTGTCATGAGTACCCGTGTTTTATGAGGCCACTGCTTGAGATACACTAATAATAAATGTAAAAATAAACGTGAATAAAATTTCACGTACATGGGGTTGAATTTCACCCACCCCGGGTCTACGGGAGCTTATCTGTTATTGGCAGGCAAGGTTTTGAGGCAAATATTTCCCTGGCAATCCGGTGGCACTTTTTCCTGTGGCAGCTATTCCAGCAAACGGATTTTGCACAGTTGAAATAAATCCCAACAAGCAGCCAGAAAGGCAGAGGGAAGGATCAGCGTGTTGACAAACCATTTACTGCTTGGTGTCACCTCTGGGGTGCAAAGCCAGTCCTGCCTGCACGTATGTGACCTGTCAACACCCACAGGTGAAGCAAATTCAGAGATCCCTACAGCAAGGAATGCTGCCTTTGGAGTAGCCCAGACTTCCCAGCGGGTCTAAAACTCACCCTGTGCAAATCCATATTGCAAACACTTTTTTTTCCTGCATGGGTGTTTTACCAGGATACGAGAGGGCTAAACCCTACATAGGACCAAGTCACCTAATTTTATAAAAGTCAAACAGCCAGCTGTGCACAGCCACAAAAGCCTTGTTCCATTTTCTGCCATGCCATGGAGGGGAGCTAAGGTCCTAACATAGCTTCATTACTCTTATTTTATTTGCATAATGCTTGCAGCATAAGCATTAGGCATTGCTAAGCAGAGCCAACGGCATTAATTCAGAATTCAAACAGAGAACGAGGATATATTCCAGGAAAATAAGATTGAATATATTGAAGCCAGAGCTAGTGCTGTAAAACATTGATTTGCTGTAAACAGTTTAATGTACCCCCTTCCAGCTGCATTAATATGTCTGCAGCATGTACATACCTCTGTGTGGAAATGATGGATGTCTCCTTACAGCAGAGTGGGTATAAATGCTGTAGGTCTGCTTCTCCTAAGTGCAGTGCCTTATTAGAAATATTTTGTACAATCTTTTGTACATTAGAAAACATTTAGCGTGGGTTGGATTTTTATGTGGAAGAGTTATGAATTGGTCTTATCCCTAGCTCTGTTTTTGGTCAACCACTTAGTAGCTTCCCATTCTTTTTTTATGCAAAAAATCCTGACTATGTAATTTGTATCATCATCCCCACTGCTACCACCACTCATTGCAGAATCTAGGGACCTTTCCTCTTGGTTTTTAAATCTTACATGGAATGAATCCATGTAAGCTTTTATGAAACCATGAATTTTCCCATGGATCTTACCTACTTTTGCTACTTCCTGTCAGGCAGGGCTGCTACTCTTCTTTTCAGACAATGTGTTTTGCTACTTTAGTGTTCAGTGTTTAGTGTTACTAAAAACGAGCCTTCCTTCAACTCTGATCAATTGCAATTTTTCATACATGTGATTTATCTGTGACATTAGACCTGTTTCTTTCCAAATCCTGACCAAACATGTTTCCTACATCTGCTGAATCTGAATACCTTAAGGTATGCAGTAATACCACAATTTCAGTAACTTTTGTTGAGTCATAAACACCTTGCACAACCCAGGTTTCTGAGGGAAGCTGTGTGAAATAATGTCACTGTTAACTCAGTGTGTGGGACATTGCCTGAATTAATCAGACTTTAAGGGTCAGCAGAAACATGTCATCACCAAGTAAAGTTGTCAGGTGTTTTAGTGCTTGACTGTATTGTGACATTGCCACACACCAGCACTTTGTCAGGATGCAAATATTAGAGCGTGATGGTAGCAGTGGCCACATCAGGTTAGTTTGTGGCCCTGTGACTCCCTTCAGTACAAAGTCAACCTGAAGTGGATGAAAATTATCTATTTGATAGTTCTTTATTCTCCTCCTCCTTTTTTAGCTGTTTGAAGAGGGTGCCCAGAGAGCCTAAAAAAGTGCCTACTGTGTTTCATACGCCTACAAAACATTTTGTGTCTACTCTGGTTACGTTCCTGCCAGTCCTGATCCCCTGAGTGAGGCCCCAGCAATGCACAAAGCGAGGGTGGTTGTGCCATTAATTATTTATCATCACTGGTTTCTAATTGTCAGCTTCCCACTGTCCTTTCAGTATTTAATACCCGGTAATCGTGTGCACTGTATTTCTTTAGGTTATCCTGTCTATTGAAGAGGGCTACAGGCTTCCAGCTCCCATGGGCTGCCCAGCTTCTCTTCACCAACTAATGCTTCACTGTTGGCAAAAGGAGAGGAACCACCGTCCAAAATTCAGTGACATTGTCAGCTTCCTGGACAAATTGATCCGCAATCCAAGCACCCTTCACACCCTAGTGGAGGATGTACTTGTGTAAGACTCTTTTTGGTACTTTTTTTTCATATATATATATACCACAAGTGGCTATCATTATGTGTTTTAGGTTGGGAGAAAGCCACAAAGCCCTGGATTCAGAAAGTTATAACTTTAAGTGTCTTTTAATGTTTGCATTATTGTTAATACACCGTAAAGGGACTTTTTTTCTCAACTCATGCAGATTATATTAGGTTTGGGGGTTTTTTATCTCTGTTTGTACACTGTCTATATCCATAATCTTTGTGAATCTCTTTGTTCCTGTTTTTTTAATTTTTTTGGTGTTTCTCTTATGTGCTTGCTTCCTCTTTGTAATTTTTTTTTCTCTAGTCAACAGCCTGTCTCTCCACCTAACAGTGCTCAAGCAATTTCTGAACTGCCTTGGAGTAATATCCTGCAGAAAGCAGTTGTGTCTTAGCTTGCTAAATCTTTATTTATCTGCAGAAGAATGGCAACAGTGACCAAATAAGAAATTGTGCTATTACTATTCCACAACAAATTTTTGATAGGGACTTGTTGGATTTAATGTCCATCCACTAGAGTTAGTGACCTCTATGTGTATGTGCATATATATAGATATATAGATATATAGATATATAAATATATATATATGACTTGCTACCTGTACCTGGGTCACTTTATTTAGCATCAGAGTAATGTATTTTTATCTCTTTTTATTTTACAACATTACTCAAGATCTAAAAAACTTATGCCTTATTGAACTATTATTGAGTTCAACTGCTCGGGAAATCAAGGTTTTTTCCAATTATTTGAGAATGCTTGATGCAGTCAATCTGAATGATTATTGTGTTATGGGTAAATTAGAAGGTCAGCAGTTATTCTACAGAATTATACATAAAGTAATTCAGATTGGAAGGGATCTTGGTAGGTCTTTAATTTCAGTTTGTACCTAACAGTGTTCTCCTGTCCTTCAGTTTCTCCCTCTATCATTTTGACAGTACAAATGACAATCAGTGTACTTAACGTATTTGAATATGTGTGAGTGAAACGGGATGTTAAGACATTAGGCTCTGCTGCTTCCTACATTGCACATTAAGTCCTCTTCCATCAGTTAATGTTGGCTGGCTTTTGCTGTCTAAAATTTCATTTTAAACAAATGCTATCTTTTCCTAAAGGCTAACATGAAGCTTTTATAAACAGCAGTGTGCCTGTTTTCTGCATTATGTTTATACAGCTTCTCTACGCAAAATGTAGGAAGTCAATTGAAGTTTTGAGTCCTCCCAAGTGTGGTACACAACAGAAGAATAGAAATAAATGCCCCAAAACTGGAATCCTTATTTTTTCCCCCATCTTTCTGTTTCTGTTTATTGCAGATAAATATATCCCAGATATATGGAAAATATTAGGGGAGAGAACTCCAACGGAAATGTGACTAAATTAGCTCCTTCATTTTTTACTTGCTACTCTATATAATTCTATGTAAAAGCAAAGATATAACATTTTGTTCTTTTTGCTGCTTTTAGGGTGAGTTTGAGCTTTTGAATGCTGTAATCAAAGTAGTACAAAATATGTTCCTGTAGCATAATGGTATCACACTAAGGAGCCATTTGGGGGCGGGGGGGTTGTAGATAAATGTAAAAATCATCTCATGGTGTTCTAATTTTTTAAATTGCACGTCATGTTAAATTCTCTTTGTCCTCTACTTTGACTACTGCATTAACAAATTACTATAATCCTGAACACAATGATGTGTAAAGAAACATTCTGTGGGAACAAAAATAAGAGCAGTGGGAGAGGCCTTTTCCTCAGCTTGTTACTGAGCTGCAGTTCTTTAACAAAATGTTCTGTTTAAGTAGTGTAACTTGGCAGACTGACGTGATTTATAAGTTTTAGACAACAGGTTAAAGAAATCTTCAGTTTATATCTGACCTTTACAGCTCAGGCTCCTCTCTCATTCCTTCTGCCTTTCAGTAAAAACAATGTCTACCAGAGTAAATTGGGTGTCATATTTTGTACTACTTTGGTAACCTTTGCGTTTTGTTTTTTACAGAATGCCAGATTCACCTGGTGAAGTTCCAGAATATCCTTTGTTTGTGTCAGTCAGTGACTGGCTGGACTCCATAAAAATGGGTCAGTATAAAAATAACTTCATGGCAGCAGGTTTCACAACTTTGGATATGGTCTCAAGAATGAATATTGAGTAAGTATGTAATCTATTATCCCTACAGTAACTAATCAATCTGAATTTGTTTGGATGCTGCAGTGACATAATTATTGTGAAGTATGGAGCAGGGCTTTCATTTCATTTCCTACCTCAACTAACAAAAGACAAATACAGATTTTTACCAAAACAACACAAGAGAAATATATGATGAAGAGACCCAGAACCAATAATTTCATTCTGTGACAACACCAAATATATCCAAGACCAGGCAGTGTGTTTCTTGGGGAATCAGTTTTGATCTAGACCACTGAAGTCAATGGCAAAAATAATTTCTTACTTTGTTATGGTTATCATCAAGTCCACATCAGTCCTCATGAGGAAGTTGTTCCACACCTTGAGGCCCTTTTTCAACCATGTCTGATACCACTCAATTGTTTCTTTAATGAAAACCCTGCACCCACCATATAAGTGTTTGGGCAAACTATGGATTAATATGGTAGCATGCTGATAGGATCTATTTTACTTTCTATTCTCTTCCCATTAATTCCTAATCTTTTATTTGATGCTGGGATACTCTGTATTAATAATGGGGTCAGTTAAGATTCACCAGTTGTCCATGGGAGGTAAGGACTGGTTTTCTCCCGTGTGTGTCACTTCACATTCACCCACAGTAAATTTCAGCTGCTGCTTTATGGCACAGTCATTGTCTTCTAAGATCCTTCTAAAACTCTTCACAGGCACTCCTTTCCCTTCCTACCCTGAACAATTCAGTCTCACCAGATGACTTTTCCACCTCTGTGCTCACCTGTTTTTCCAGACCATTTACTGATTTGTTGAACAATAATGTTCAACATTATCCCAGCATAGGTGCCTGCAGATTTCTATCAATAACAACATTGTAACACCTGACAATTAACTCCTAACTTCCTGTCTTTAAACCTGTAATATAGTCACACACAGACTACCTTATGCTACATATTTTGCTACACCTTGGGTTACGTAATAATTGCCCCTTATTTTCATTATAAAGCTTTCATAAGGAATCTCCTCTAAAGCTTTTGGAAAGCCAAGTGAGGTGTATCAAATGAATCACCTTCATCCATACCTATGCTCCACTGGAAACAGGTAATTTTCTAAAACAGAACTTTTCTTTGCAAATGCCGTGGTGAGTCAGGTAAATCATTTATCCAAGCATCCAATAATTCCATGCTTTACTGTAGTTTCTGTTATGCCCTGTCATTGCAGACCCGCAGGTCTGTGGCTCCACAGATCTTCCCTGGAAACACTTTGTCTGGCACCACACTCCATGTCTCAGGCACCAAGAAATTTTTAAGCGTGTGGAACACAGCTGATAAACTCCTGCTCTCACATCCCTGTTAGTGATTCCACTATTTCATCCTTGTTCCACTGTTCCATCTTTTAGAACTCTTGGCTAAATATAGGCTCGTTTTGGAGGTGGGTTTTTGCTTGTTTTTCAGTTTGTCCTATAACCTCCCCTCAACTTCAGACAGATACTTCACAAGTCCCTCAGAAAGGATCTGGCAGAGGAGTCACTTCAATTTTTTCTGCAGTGAATGCCAACACAAATAAATGGTTTAGTCTTCCAACAGTGGCCAGTCTTTCAGAGCTCTTTTATACTCAAATCATCACTAGATTCTACAAACTTTCTGGTAGGCTTCTGGTACCCAGTGAGTCTGCAAAAATATTTATTATGATTTTTATTTTTGGTATTACTTCATTTGTTGGGGTTTTTTTCTGTTTGTTCCTGAAGTTCTCTTTTAGCCTGCCTTACTGTGCTTTTACAGATAATCTAAGGTTATCATCCTTTCTACTTTCTTTCTTTCTTTCTTTAGATACTACTTCAATCTTTTGAAAGATCCCTTCTTTCTTCAAATAACCTCCATTACCCAAGACCTGCTGGCTTCTTTCTGTGCTTTATCAGGCCTTCCTTGATAAGTGCCAAGCATTGGTCTTGCATTTCTAATACTACTCTCCACCACAAAGCTTTATTCTTTTAGCTGACTGCTTTTAGCTTCTCAGATTCTCAGTATTTTTGCCCAGCCCCTGCTGATCTCAAGTGTCGTGTATCATCCCCCACGTGGACATTAAGCCTAAATACATAGTAGTTGCCAGTTATCCATTGGGTCTTCATCTGGAGGATACAGAGGCAGGTATCTTGAACTGAAAATCTGAAGCTCATAAAGGTCATGCCTCACCCCATGAGCTCCTTTAGCAGCTGCATCCTCAAACATTTAGGATATCTAAACAAGCACTGTCTGTGTATGTCACAGTGTGGGATTTGCACAATTGACAAGGCGTATCTGAAGTTTCCTGCCCTCATCACCTCTGTGGTCTTTTCTCAGCATCTTGCAGCTGGGGATGTTTACAGAACAACTAAACTAGTGGATTGTGGTGAACTCTGAGGGTTCTTGACTTAATTCCTGCCAAAGCTCTGTGGGTGAGCTCCCTGCTCTGGGGCACAGGTCTAGATGAGATGAAGGGAAACTGGGAGGGAAATCTGGGTCAGGTTGGAAGATTCACTGCTGGTTTGACTTTAGACCATCTCTCACTACCATTCCCCAAATCATCAGAAGCACAACCTCTGTCTGTTATTTCTGTCTCGGGACTGCAGTAGTGAGTGTATCAGCCCCAATGTTTTGCAAATATGAGTAGGAAACATTTGCTACTACAACATTACTAAAAATGTGAAGCGTTTAAGAACCCACCTTCCAGGTTATTCCTCAAGACTTGGAAAAATTACTTGACGGTTACTATCACAAAAGCCCCAGTGTTCTAACTGCATATTTTTTATTAGATTCTTTTTCTTAAATGACTGTCTTTAAAAAATTGAAGTTGGCAGGTCAAGAAAACTTGAACATTTACAGCTTTCCAGTCAGGAAGGTAAAAAAAGAACAGTTCATCATAAATTTATATTCTTTTGTGTACAACAGGCTTTACTATACTTGCATCCAAGATGAAACTTTCTATCTTGCAGTGACATTAGAAGAATTGGAGTTGTACTCATTGGACACCAGAGACGAATAGTCAGCAGTTTACAAACTTTGCGGTTACACATGATGCACATACAGGAGAAAGGATTTCATGTATGAAAGTACTAGAACCAACTGTGTTTTGTGCCTCAGCATTTCTAAAATGGAAAAATATTCTCATTCTTTCCTTCTGCTCTTCCCAACTTCGAGGACTGCAGTCTCCTGTTCAGACTTTACAAGTACTTCAATGATAATGCTTCCAAACCGGAGTTTTTAATCACACCACACAGCTCCTCCACCAGTTATCTGCCGATAAAATCCTGGCCTACTGCAAGACTCTTGCTACACATTGATGAATAACTCAGCATGGATGTGTAACTTTGTATAACAGTATTTGGGAAACTTTCATGAACTTACTTGAAAGTAGTAATCTATTTGGCCTGGTGTGGCTTCTTTATCGATGTATTTAGAGTTTGCTGGTAGATCAAAAAAGTATTTGACTTATTTCATGTTCTGTGACCATGTAACTTCCAATACCAAATGTGCAATCAAAAAGAAGTTTAACATAAATATTTATTTTATCTCTTAATTAAATCCAAATGTATGGGTCCTATCATTATATTACTTTATAATAGTTTGAAAGCTGGTGAGATGGTGCCTCAAAATATTACTATTGTTTGCAGAAACGACTGATGATGTTATGTAGCGAGTTTTCATTGTGTGAATAATTGGAAGGAAAATGAGAGTAATCTGTTTGAAATCTCAAGGAAGGTCTTTGATTTTTAATTACTTCAGCACTCGACACTTTTTATGCTTTAAATTTTTATGATTAGGTTGGAAAACATGTTCATCCCTGGGATTCCTCACCATCCTTCATTGTTATTTCTTTTTTATGTAATACTCAGCATTTGCTTCTACTACATGGCAAATATTCACCGGAAAACTGATTGTAACGTTTCCATGACCACATGTAAAACACAGTTGTCAGCTGTATTGTGGCCACACAGACTTTAGAAAGCTTTCTGTTCCAGAAATGCAGGTCTCTGCTGCTTGGACTTGGGCATAATTCCCAGCAGCAGTAGCAGACCTTAGAGGGCCAGCCATCAGTGGGGTGATGTGGCTATTCCCGTGGGAGCAGGCCAGCCGTGTCCTCCTCCAGCTGAGGGCAGCAGTACAACCGCCCGCTGATGCTGGAAGTTACACGCTGCAGGATTCAGTTACCTTGTACCTGGGCAGGAAAGGAGATGTAGGACAGCAGTGTGGCAACATGTTGCCTTGACTCTGCTTCTGACTGCTTTTAGAAGTGAAAAAGCAGATTCTGCTGAAATGGAGCTCTGGTCACTACAGGCTGGATCTTCATTTAGTACAAATATCTAAGGGACATCCATGATAATTACCTTTAGAACCCTTCAATAGCCATATTTACATGCAAGAAAACGTCTGCAAAGGCCTGACATAATATTTGTACCTCTCTTAAGACTTACAGCTTTCATGTTTTATTCAGACAACTCACATGGACGTGCTGGGCTACACTTCCAAATTTTTGCATGGGATATGCACTACTGGGAACAAGGGAGCGACCGCATGTCTGTGTGCTGTGAGACCACACACAGATCTACAATGCATGTCACATGTAACCTGGCTGCAGATGCTTTTTGTTGACTTATACGTGGTTTGGAGGATATTTTTGAGTTATGTGGCATTCCAGTATACTCGAGCCTTACAACTCTTCTGTTGAAACGTGCATCTTGGGTAATTAGTATAGTATGTGTGTATATCAAAATGAGCTGACTACTTTATGTAATCATAACGATATTTACCGCTTAATTTGCAGCTTGTAAATGTATTTCCTAACTCTTGGAAAAGGCTGCCACTGCGTATCAGTGGCAAAGAACAAAAATCAGAAAGTAACTCAACAAAGATAATGCTTCCAACCAGATCACAGAGTAAGACACGCTAGGCCTGATTCGCTGTTGTCACTTTATGTTGGAATAACTGCATTAATTTAGAAGAGATAACAACAGTGCACTAAGTAAACTTTCTTTCCTTTAAAAAAAAATTAAAAGGCAGATTTAACTGAGGAGCAATTTTCATAAAGATCAAGATTCACCGGGGTGTTCCACAATGCCAATTGGATGAGCTTGTTTAAAGCAGAGCAGCTCCAGTCCTGTTCTAGCTACAAAGGTAATTTTGCCAGCATGAGCAGTCCCCCTTAACTCAGTAGGACTGCACATGCACGTGTGTTTTGCAGGATCACAGGCTTTTAGTGGGGGGAAAAAAAGTATCTGTTCTTTCCTGTGACTGTCACTTGAAAAATTCCACCCCGATTCCACATCTGAATAATTTTTTGGTAAAGGTTCTCTTATGGAAAAAAAATCATACTGACCTGAAGCCCAGAGTAATTTGAAAGCTGATTTTCCTTTATCATTTAATTATCCATTTTGCTTGCCATTGCTTCCATGGGCCAACAATGGGACATGTGTGGAAGAAGCCTCTCCCACAATTAAATACATTACTGATGAGGTACGAGTCTGCTATTTGTTAATGGGGTTTCAAAACCATCCATAACTGATCCAAACCATGTATGTGCACTTTCAGATTGTCTTTTGCAAGATTTTTCATTTCTGGTAGTGAGGATTGGCAGAATGACATTGTTACATGCACACAACCTGGATACATTTCATGAAAATATATTTCTAAATTTATCACACTACTGAAAATATATTTTCAATAGAAAAAATATAACAATATTAAAACATTTATTAATCAGATATATTTTTTATATAACCAGTGTTTGGGTAACCAGAAAGGAAAGAACAAGGGATTCTTTGGGTGAGGACATTTATTAATAACATTGTAAATCCAGGATTTTGTGAGTTTATACAGTTTGTTTTTCTGTTGTTGTTGTGGTGCAGTATGACACTTCTATAATAGTTATCTTGATCAAATTTACATTTTCCTCATTTTGGAAACATTTTATTTGCTCTTGTGCTGAGTCCAAGTCTACTCTTGGTTTGGGGTTTCTTTCCTATTTTATCATTTAAAAACAAACAAAAAACATAACAGGTGTTATTTTTCAAATGTGAGCTTAATTCTGTGCAGGGCACAAATGTATATGTGAAATTAGACTAGCTTTCTTTGTTACAGTGGATACTTTCTTCAGGTGAAAATTAGCTCTAATTATCCTGCATATTGCAGTATGCAGTTGGAGTTTAAATTTCACAAAATTAAGCAAATTTAGTAGGCTGTTTCTGAGAATCTGGCCCACATTACTGAGTGCTTCATGACTAAAAGCAGTCACTGAAAGTTCACAAAATAAAGCGTGTGTGATATGCAAGCAACAACAAAAAAAAAGGCATTAAAATGTGGGCATCATAAAGACATCATTCTAAGTTATTTATAAGTAATATTCATGTGTAGATTTTTCTCACAGCTCTGATTTCATTGATCTAGAATAAAATCATCTATGGGCACTATTACCACCCAGTGATACTTGTGTATCACTTAAGCCTCCAAGACAGCTTAAGTGAGGGCCTTGACTGCTGAGCAGGACCAGGGCAGTGTCTCTTTCCATCGTGTGGCCGATCCCAGTGCTTCCAAAGCTGACTGACAACCAACCTGGACATGCAGCCAAGTGGGGTGGTCATCTAACCTGGAAACCATATCAGTTCATCCTTACTACCCCCACTTGTCAGTCAGAGACCTGAGACCTGCTGGGAGGAATCCTTCTGACCTAATTTTGGAGGTCTGCATTTGAGCTGGTCACCCGAGGCTCCCTTTTAATCAGCGAAGTGGGCTCCTGTAAGATGTGAGTCATCTGAACTATCTATCTATCTATCTATCTATCTATCTATCTATAAATAAAACTATCTACTTCTGGGTTAGATGAATTGTGCTAAAGAAACACCTGTTTCTCTGCATTCAGTGATAGCTCATATCCAGCCATCTGTGCTCAGTCAGATGAATCTCATGCCATAATTGTATCCTCGTGCTGAACCTGTGGAAAAGAGAGGATCTTGTTCATAATGCTGATGTTAAAATTGAAAAAATCATAGCAGAAGGTTTAGTAGATTTTAGTCATGAGGTGTTTCCACACTGGAATTACTGAGAAGCAATAGGATGCCATGAGGTGAAAGGAAGAGAATTGGGTGACGTAACTTAAATTTTTTTTTTAAACAAAAGTTATCCTTTTTGTTTCCCAGGAACATAAATCCAGTGTCTGTCCAATAAAAGCTTAGACACATGCTATGCTTTAGGACACCAGCCAGGACTTTTCAGCATAAGGCAATCCTTTAATTTCAATCAGTGCACTCAACAACTAATTCAAATAAATTAATTGCTCTGGATAAACATTCTTCTCCAAAATTGTGCTAGGTGTTAGTTGGATTATTCTGGCACAGAACTCACAGACTGCAGTACTTTGATTTTTACATAATTTAAGACTGACTATCCATTTGCCATTTTTTTACATAATGAGCCTAACATGGGCTTCAGTAATTTCTTTTTCAGTTCAGATTCCTACATGGGAATCCAAAGGTGGGTCATAAGTAACATGCAGATGCCCTTTATCCAGGTGTAGTTGAGATTTACCATGTGCAGTAGCTGGGACTGTGAAGGTACCCACTGAGACTCTACTAATCTCAGCAATTTCCATGTCAGAATGACCCCATGGGACTGGATCAGCACAGAGAACTCACTTCTAATCCAGTCCAACATATCTTTAGTTATGGTCACAATAAAAAGTCTGTCTTCCATTGCATCTTCTAGGGAAAGTACTACAAATAGAGATACTTATGGCATTTGCACATGGTTGAAGAGCACTGTATTCTGTTAAATAGTTTTCTTCCAGAATACCCTTGTTTACCAGTTGTAATTGATCTTTCTTGAATAAATGGCAAGGATAATTTTTTTTCTTTTTTTATAATGGTACTCTTTTTTTTTTTTTTTTTTTTTTTGAGAATGAGGGAAAGACATATTGGGCTGGGCTAACTCTTAGTAGGACAATGATCTTGAAATCTTCTGGGGAGACAAATGAATCAGTACTGAAAAGGAAAAAAGAATCCCTAAAGCCTACAATAAAGTAAAAAGGGAAGAGCTGTCCATGTCGTGCCAAGGAGCTCTAAGAAAACCACAAAAGAGTTGTATAAGAGAGTTGCAGGTACTCACAGCTCACACACATCTTCTACCATCAAATACTGTATTTAGTGGTGCACACTGCTCATCCATGAGTGCTATGGTTGTATATAGTTCCTCAGATTACGAACCTGGATAAGGCAAACACATTAGGGTTATAAAACATTTGTCTATATGTACATAAAGAACTGTAAATATCACGTATATCATCATGTCTGAGGTTTTTCAAACCTACAAATTAATTACCTATTACCAATAACAATAATGGGGTTGATCTGCTCCACTGGCTTTTAAAATGTTTAATGGCATGCACTGTATGTGTGTAGCTCTTCCCAGACTTCCTTGGCTTGTTATCTGGAAAGGGACAGCCTCTCTTTTCCTTCACTGGCAGAAAAAAAACATTTTCAAACTGGCTTACAGAAAGCTGACTACCCTTCTACTGCCACCTCACCCAACCCCTTCCTACTGGTTCCCTTCCAGAGA